TATATCTTTGTTTTCTTAAACCATGAACCATGGCCATGTTACAACATTCAAAAAGTCCTAATTGAACCTAGGTTCACTATGAAAGCATACTCGGTAAAATTGTGTTAAACTGACTCCTATGTTTGTTAAATTTATTGCTAATCACTTCGCCTCTTTGAATCTCCATTTCTAATCATCCATTTCTATTACAAACTTTGATTTCAAAACTTTCATGTGCATCAAACAGAATTACTTTTCAAAATGGACAATTTTACCTACGAATCAATACTTAGCATCAAGGAGATTTCAAAAAGGTCTAATCAAAGTCAACATTTCCAAGAAGCTTCTAACTAGGGGAAAAGAATCTATGAGGACCCCTATAAATAGGGACAAATATTAATGATCGTAGGGGTATATCACTTGAAGGTACTATTGACAAGGGGTGATCATTCCAAGATTCAATCAGCTTCAATCAAAATTCAAAGCACAGCTCAATCAGGGGCATACCTTTCGAAGAAGCATTCCTTAAATCAGGTTATATCACAATAGGGTATGACTCAGTTTTCTCGTTTTAACAAAGCTATCGAGGTCTTGATAATTAGGGGTAACCTTCCAAGGTTCAAATGTTGGGGCAGTACGCACCAGGTTCATCCTACTGCATGTAGAGTCCAAATTCTTCAAGCAACTTCAAGTACAAACTTTTCAAGATTCGAATACTTGGGGAAATCTGTGTCAATTTCATGGTGAGGTCTAAGTTATTTCTGAAGGTACTTCCTCCAGATCCTAGATATTGAGGGGCACATCTTTCAAAATTTTGAATGTTAGGACAAAGCACTGCGAGGCTCGATCAAAAGGAGTTAATTCAAAAGGGTTCATCAAAGCCAAACATTTTCAAGAATCTTTTAATCAGGGGCATAATACAAAATAATGGGGTCATTAATATTATAAACAAAATGTTACCAAACTCGTATACAAAAGAATCTCCTCCAAGGCCCTACCAACAAATTAGGAAAAAATAGTCCATATAGGGGCAAGCTCTTCGCGTACTTTCACAACCTCCAGTGGGTCTTTCTTCTACATTAGCAATCTTCGAATTCTAAACGAGTATCATGGAATTATGCAAGCACAACACTCTACCATCATGTGACAAGAAACCTTGTTGCATAGGCATACCTCTTCACTTTAATCGTCCACGACCCATGATAGGGGCATCATTAAAAAAACTCGTTCAAGTCATAATCATAAAACATAAGGCTGCATGAATCATGCATTAGTGCTTCGTCGATCCAGAATCAAGCTATACTTATCATCTCATCCATCTGAAGAAGTTCGACAACGTGGGTCGAGCATATCTCAAAAATCCCAATTACGCATTCACATTTCAAAATCCAAAATCCATTTACATATATCCAAGTCATCCATGGCACACATCAATCAATCATTACATTGCATGCATCAACAAATCATCTCATTTCATGCATCAATCAAATTTACACGCATAGCATAAAACCTTGTTTTATGTAAGTAGAATCATCATTGTCGATCAAACCATCAATTCTACATTCAATCTCGGCAGTAGATTTCCCTGGTTGATCACGACAGTTGATTATCCGGAAGACCTCGGCAGAAGGTAGTTTCCAATTGAATCTCAACAGAAGATTCCCCTGGTTGATCACGACAGTTGATTATCTGAAAGATCTCGGCAGAAGGTAATTTCCAATTGGGTCTCGGCAGTAGATTCTCCTGGTTGATCATGACAGTTGATCATCTGGAAGAACTCGGCAGAAGGTAGTTCCCAATTGAATCTCGGCAGTAGATTCTCCTGGTAGATCACAATAGTTGATTATCTGGAAGACTTCAGAAGAAGGTAGTTTGAAATTGAATCTCGATAGTAGATTCTCCTGGTTGATCACGGTAGTTAATTATCAAGAAGACCTCAGCATAAGGTATTTTCCAATTGACTCTCGACAGTAGATTCTCCTGGTTGATCATGATAGTTGATTATCCATAAAACCTCAGCAGAAGGTAATTCAATTTGAATCTTGACAGTAGATCCACGTGGTTGATCATGGAAGTTGATTATCCAGAAGACCTCGGCAGAAGGTATTTCAATTGAATCTCGGCAGTAGATTCCCCTGGTTGATCACAACAGTTGATTATCTGGAAGACCTAGGAATAAGGTATTTCAACAGAATCTCGACAGTAGATTACCCTATCCTGGTTAATCTCGATAGATGATAATCTAGAATACCTCGGCAGAGGTATTTCTCAATTGAATCTTGGTAGCAGATTCCTTAGAAATCTTGGCAGTAGATTTCCCATCAAAAAGCCTAATATCAAGCATGATGTACGCATAACCATATCAAAATCTCAAGGTCATTCACAACATTGGGTGCATCTAACATACGGAAACACCAAAGAGCGCTTGATGAAATATCGAAAAACATTTTTCTTAGAAAATATCGAAATAAGATCCACGTCCACGTCCATGTCTATACTTATCTCCATAATTACGCTTGCGCCTATGCTACGCCTACGTCTACGATACAAACATCAAGATATATGTTCAAATAAATTCAAAAGATACCATGATGTCGCAACATGTAATGTTGGGGGGGTTGGTAACTCAAAACTAATGGTTTAAAAAGGAGAATACAAAAGCATTTCCCATAACATTTAGGACATGTATACATAGTTTTCACCAATGTATATTGAGGCATACACACATTCGTTGCATATGCATTCCAAAGTCCATATTTTGCTACATACACATCATGCACATACATCACACATGACATTTCTTTAAAAAAGCATGCTTTGGGAAGAGCCAATATATTAGGGCCTTCCATCATTCCTTACCTTGGTTAGAAAGCAAATAACCAGTAGAATCCATTCCCATCTTTAATTTAGTCATCTAAGATTTGAATTCTCCAAAACAAATTCCTTTCTATTCCACCCATTGTGTCAATCTCTATGCAACAATGCATGAATTTTCTATATTTAACTTATTGTGTCTTTCTCCATGCAGAAATATGTTTTTCCTTTGCGATCTAGCTCATTATGTAAGACCCCAGGCAACAATGTTGCGAAGTGAGAAATTCCACCCATTGTGTCAGTCTCTATGCGAGAATTTGTGAGAATTTTCTATATTTAACTTATTGTGTCAGTCTCAATGCAGCAATATGTTTTTCCTTTGTGATCTAGCTCATTATGTCAGACCCCAAGCAAAAATGTTGCAAAGTCAGCAATTCCGCCCATTGTGCCAGTCTCTATGCGACAACGTGTGAAAATTTTCTATATTTAACTTATTGTGTCAGTCTCCATGCAACAATATGTTTTTCCTTTGTGATCTAGTTCATTCTGTCAGACCCCAGGCAAGAATGTTACAAAATCACCAATTCCACCCATTGCATCAGTCTCTATGCGACAATGTGTGAAATTTACAAATTAACTTATTTTGTCAGTCTCCATGCAACAATATATTCTCTCTTCACGATCTAGCTCATTGTATCAGACTCCAGGTGACAATTTTACAAAGCCAGCACTTTCATCCATTGTGTTAGTCTCCATGCGACAATGTGTGAAGTTCCTCATACTTAACTTATTGTGTCAATCTCCGTGTAACAATGTTGTTATCAAACTCGAACTCATTGTGTCAGTCTCCATGCAGCAATGTTGTTATCAAACTCGAACCCGTTGTGTTAGTCTCCATGCAACAATATGTTCTTTCTTTGTGATATAGCTCTATTGCATCAGTATCCATGCGACAATGTGTTGTCAAACTTCATTTTATCCATCCCCTAGGTTGCGATGGATAAACAAAATCAAGACAAACCAAAACTTACGATATTAGTCTCCAGGCATTAGTCAGTCAACTTTTCAAAGCTGTATCATTTGCCTCATAGGTTATGGTAAATATGAAAGAATTTACAATCTCTTTTAGATACTGACGAATTATTCACGTATTCATATCTAAAACAAACTTTGGTGCAAACGCTGGTCAAATGATACATCATCATCTACGCCTACCTTTCACACTCGTGGGAACGCTGTACAGCGTATCCTTATAATCTCTCAGACAAATCTTGGGGTCTTCCGATATTTAATAAAATTTTGATCAAACGTGCGAGACCTGTGTATTCTCGCACTATTCAATCGAAAGAAGATTAAATAGGGGAAGTTTTCATACCCCAAATTTTCCCTACCCTTATACTATGTTTAGGTTTCTAATTCAATAAATCACATTATCTGGTTTTTATTTCTATGGAGGGTGTAAAACATGGAAGAAGGGATGTTGGATTTAGAATGGACCATCGATATCTGATATCACATTAGGTTCTTAAAGGGAGGGTTCGTTTCAAGTTAAAAGAAGAAGGCATTTTATTTGGTCTAGGAGGTGAGCAATCCATTTCTCTTGATTAAGGCCCAATTAGGTTTTTTGTGTAAAAAGCAATCTAGTTTTTGTTGAGATCCATAACAAATTACTTGTGAGGGCCCAATAAAGTGAACTTCTGGCCCATTTCATTTTTATTGTTACTCTAACATCATTAATAAAATTATCATTATTAACATTACCATTATTTTGTTTTAATTAATTCGGATACTTATTATTATTATAATTAATTATCATCTTTTAAATCTTAGTTAAAACTGGTTTTTTTTGTCTTTTGTTAAAAGGGAAAAACGTAGGAAGTCGATCCACTCTTTTCTTTTATAGTCCATTCCCAAAGCCCAATACTAACTGGCCTAGTTCAGTTGAAAGAAAGGCTTTGTTTCCAAAAGACAAATATTGTATGAATTGAACAAAGTTCAAACACACTACAAGCCCAATTGAAAAAAAATACATTTTTAATGTTCTAACAACTATTGTTTGGATCATAAATGCATTAACATGAACAAAATCAAAAACGAATCAGCAGGAAATAATGTTTATTGACATTCAAAGTTTTAATCAAATTCAAATTATTATAGAATCAAAATTACAATAAATAAACTTAATTTCATTTCCTAATTCATAATCCCTAAAAGCTATAAAATCCAAAACGAATTACAGAAGAAGGGGGTGGAAATCTACAATGAAAAAGAAAAAAACAAATTGCAGAAATGGAAGAAGTTACGGTACAGGGACGAGGAGAAAACAATACACAGATTACAGAAGGGGAGATAGGAAGGAGAATCAACAGAAAAATCACTACATATCTGAGATGCTCCGCTGTCCTCGTCATCCAATCTCGCTGTCGTACCTCGGTCGTCCTCCATCTCCGGCATCTCTCAATTTTCTTATAGTAATTTCGCAACACCTCCGCCCTTGCAAGTTGTAATCCGGTCGGCCGTGTCATATTCTTTTGGGCCTCATATCCCTTGATTAGGATTTCCAACCCTCCAGGACCAATCATTATCTACACCTCCTTCAATTTTTTTTACTAACATATGCAACTTCACACCCCCTTGGCCATTGGACTTGAATTAGAAATTTGAATCCAGGCCCCTTATATTGACACCCCTCCCATTTTTGCTACTTCAACTATATTTACACCCCCACATTTTTAATTTTATTTCTTTTACTATTTTATTATAATTCTTACTTTTATGCTTTATACTTATATTTTAATAGTATATTTATTATTTATTATAATTTGAAATAATTATTCTCAACTCATAAGTAAAAAAGTATATTTTTATTATCGCATTAAATTATTCTTTTAATCATGCACTTAAAAACACTTTTCACAATATAAGTTGATTTAATATTTTATATCAAAATATTAAAACCCGCGCAATTCACCAAATTACTACATCTGCGAGCGACACATGACCAATATCTGGCAACGTGATGAGGAGACTATATCAGACTCCATCGCTCTACGTCTTCATACAACTAACCAACCTCAAATCAAACTTTTTACTAATATAATCAAATTTATATTTATTTTCAAAAAGGGTTGTATTAATATCTTTTATCAACTATGAACTACGAAATGGGACTCTGATTCCTCCTAAGAGGATACGTAGGTATACGATCAAAAATAGTGGCGAGTTCCCCTAACTAAAATTAAAACTCTTTTTCCCCTAATAAAACACTGAAAACCTATTTCCTAAAAATTACGCTTCTAAACCTAGTATCCTTGTGAACAAGGTAGATGAGGGGTGCCTAACACCTTCCCCTCGTCTAGAATCGAGTCAACAATCTAGAATCTCTGACTATTTTAGGGTTATCCTTTATACTCCCTTCCTTAGGATAAAAATTAAGGGTGACGACTCTGAATTTAAAATCAGTTGCAACACCATATCTCATCTAACATGAAACTTATTTATCTCCCAAGTTTTGATCACTTTGTGATGTTTATAAATGTATTCTTCCTCCATCTTTAGGATATGTTTATGTGAGTTTTATATTGTGTACTTGCTGCCCGAATTATGATATTATGCCTCTACTATTGGTTCAAGGTTATCTAATGCATAATACTATGTCATTATGAGTTATGATATGGATTGTTTAATTATATTTGATCTTCCTTGTTGTTTGCTAACATTTCTTGTGAGATTATACGAGTTTTTGGAAAGCGATTCATCGCGGTGCATTACTCTTGCTTGTGATTTATTTCACCATGACATTGGGTTCTTATTAGATATATCCTGACTGTTTTCTTATTAGCTCCAGCTTGCTCGAAGTGTTTCGGATTTCTTGCTTATATCTGCTTAGCTACGAACCATTGTTCGTTTTGGTAGTATTTCTTTCTGATTTATCTTCATTTCGGCATTTTATTGCTTTCTAGAGATCATGAGAAGTAGGAACTTTACTGCTTTCTGATGCCATGAGAAGTAGAGATAGAGATGTATGATGGGGGTCTCTATTTCTGATCATGTCAGGAACCCCTCTGGTTTATTTAAAGACCCGTTTAGGGAAATTCCGCATTATGTGCATTGTGTGCTACTTGTGTTTGTTTAAAACCCTACCTGTGTAGATTGAATTCTGCAGGTTTGTTTACATTTGTGCTTTCATATATTAAAGATGATAAGCCCTGAAAAGGAGGTGAGCAGAAAGGGTTATTAGCCAACCCCTACACATTCTAGTATGTGTCATCCTTAGCTCACGTTGTACGTCGATGCTTTGGATTTGTGCAGATCTTGTGTATCAAGTCGGTCATATGGAAAAGGGTTTTGTCCCAACACCCACACTTTATATGGAGTTTGCAATGGCCAATGCTAACACTCCGCTACCCGATTGTTTACTTCGGGTGATCTGTTCCCCTTAGCTAAATCATTTCTCTTCTTTTCTTATTTCATCTCTCTCCCGCTTGTTTGCTCCAGGTGATTCGCTCCTCTTAGATAAAGAATTTTTATTCTTTTACTTTTACCAATCCCGCTTGTTTTCTTTGGGTGATCTGCTCCCCTTAACTAAATTATTGTACCCCAAAAATTTTCCTCTCTTTTCTCAAGATATTTCTCAGAAGATCTTCAATAGCTCAAGCATGTACAAGTGTTGACTAGGTTAAACCACCTCCTAAACATTAATGCCTCAAATTAGGGTTTTTATTTTCACAAATACAATTGTACTTCTAATGCCTCAAATTACTTTCATGGATCATTATGGACCTCCAGGAATACTCATGTCAAGTTTCAAGTCTTGAATCACAATTTTGCTCAGTCAATTGCTCAGATGATTGAAAATCAATTGTATTGGGTAAAAAGTCAATTATGGTCAACCTAAATTCAAACTTTAATATTTTTTACCAATATCAACATTTTTAAGTCATATCTGTCAATTGATTAAGTTTGGATCCCAATTCCCCAAGAAAAATGTTCAAATCATCAAGGCAAAATGGTCAAAATTAGGGTTTTAACTGAGAAGGCTTGATTTTTTATTGTTGACCGAATAAATGGCTTATTGGTTTGAAACATGATATCAAGGATTCACGTACATCATTTTGAACTAATTTCATGACTCAATTCATCTATGAAGATCAATTGATTGATAGTTGAAAATCAGTCAACTGAGGAAAAGTCAACTGATGCATTAACTATCAAACTTTAAATTTTTGATGAACATTGAATTTCAAAGATCACAATTCATAAATACAATCAAAATTATAAATCTTGATCATCAAGAAATCAAGAAAATCAAATGTCTTTGAAAAAAGTCAAAGTTTTCAAGACTTAGAAAATTTTCTAAGTGTTTTAAGTCTTATTTTTTCATGACTTCATGCCAACTTTTCACCAAGATGCAAGATGACTCAAAGAAAACTTCCAACATTAAATTTGTATATCTTGATGATATCTACAACTTTTCTTTACTAATAAAGTCCTAAAATGCTTGGTTTTGAATTATGAATCCATAAAGTCGTGCACTTTTTCTTAAACACTTGGTGAAATTTTGACCTAGTTTAAGCAGATTTTTGACTTAACTTCTTGGCTAATTTTCACCAAGCTACAAGATAATTTTGTCAAAATGGCCAACATGAAATTTTTATATAATTTTCCAAGTTTTTCAAAATGTCAAAGAACTCAATAAGATCATTCTTGAGCTAGGAGAATCGAAGAGATGAAGTTAGAGTTTCAAACTTGAATTACAAGCAAATTTTATGATGAACACATGACCAAATCCATAAGCCACACAGCATAATCTTGCTTTGCAGGCTTCTAACTTGCAAATCACTCCTTAATTTAATGTTTACACAACTGATTGATCAATTTTCCAATTTATTCAAGCATTGTCCAAAGCAATTTTCCATTTTAGGGAGAAAGTTACCATTCCATTCCTATAAAGCAAAGCTTTATGCAATGTCAACCCTTCTTGAGCCTCTAAGTGGCTCCTTATGTACACACTCAACCTAGAAACTCATAAGAGGCATGTTTAAAGTGATTCAACCACCCTACAAGCTTGTACTTTGCCTTGAAATCATATTTGTCAAGCTTAGTTCAAAAACAAGTCAAATGAACACAACATGTGATTTTTGAATTCTGACCACCTCAAGCTCTCAAACATTTTCCTATAAATTAAGACACTATTATAAAACTTGGAGGATGAAAAAACAAGCCTTCAAACTCACTCAAACTCTCCCAAACTCAGATTGCACACAAAACTCAATTTTTGTGTAGAAACTGACCAATAACTTCCATCTCTCAAACCACTTGTGTGTTTCCTTTCCTCCATAACCAAAATCAGAAGCTTGCATATTTACTTCTATAATAATATTAAGCAACTCTCAACATAAGTTAAGCATTGCATTAGCTTCCTAGAGATCCAAGGAAGCTAACTTGATCATCACAGCACCTTGAAGCAAGCTCATTTGCAAAACACGAATTCCATTTTTGAGGTAAGTTTTCTGATTTTGGAACTCTTCATATAGGCATTAGTAGCTTTCCATTTCAAAGATAAAATGTAGACATCATTGCCCTAAAGCTTACCATGTTCTTAGAATTCATTTATCTTGCTTGAGTAGTGAGAATTTTAGGTTTGAAAAATCTGAAAAAGTTAGGTCAAAATTTGATACCATTAGAAATTCTCATTCATCATTGATCTATAGTTTTAGTTGCTTACATTTCTGGAATATTTATGAAATTTAGAGCAAGATTGATGTTTACATTTTTGCAAATGGTTGAGGGATGAAGAAGTTATAGGTTTTAAAAAATCATGTTGAAAGTCTGGCGCGAGGTTGAAGATGATACAGGCCTAGGATTGGTTTTGTAATATATTGCATTGGTTTTGTTTTAAACACCGGATGTATAGCCACCCCAATGGTAGAGAGCGCACGCGTAAGGTCTAGCCTCCTATGAGGTCCCGGGTTCGAACCCCAGGGACCTTTTGTTTTTATTTTCTAACATTTTTTGCTTCATTTCTCTACAGCTAGCGCCTTGGGCCTCCCTTGGATTGGGCCATCACCATTTTAACTTCTCTCACCCCCATTTTGAAACAACACGCAGGCCCACCCTTTTATTTTGTCTTCCTTATTTTCTTATTACAAAAAATCACTCTTGGGCCTAAACACAAAACAAAACAGTTTTACTTGTTTACACCATATTCAATTTTACACCTTCCTGACTTTTATTTTATATTTCTTTTTTATTTTCTTTCTATTTAATATTATTATTATTATTATTAATATTTTTGTTAATCAAAAATACAATAAATATATAATATTTATTGTTTAGATATTATTATGTTTTTATTTTCTTTATTTATTTTTAAAACAAAAAGACCAAAAATATTTTATTAATAAATTCAATTTCTATTTCTTAATTAAACCATCTTAGACTTAGGTTTTTACTTTAATTTTTTTTTTCATTTAAATAATTTAGAATTTAGGAATTTAATTAAGTTCTCTACTCACTCTAGTTTGATTAATTAAGATAAAACTTTTTCATATAAAACCCTAAACACTTGTTTTTTTTCTTA